GCAAAATCATATTTCGACAAAATCGATTTTGGTTTTTGATGTAACTTTAAAAAAAATGACCGTAGACACATGAAATTTTCACTGAATGTTTATATAGGCATTTTCTATATTTGATAACATTTTCAAAATATTTTGAATTTTATTGGTTTGCTCAAAAAGCTTGAAAACTTAATACAAGGCTTCCAAAATAATGTTAAAAAAGCAGTTGAAAAATATTAAAAATACACGGGCACAATTTTTTTTTATAAGCATTTAAAGTTTAAATTTTGACTAAATACGTAATAATCATGGCAAATTTCAAAATATTATCTGAATTAGAAATTCATAAGAAATTTTCTTTTAAAATCTTAGGTTTGAAAATGTAATACAAGATTCTTCTTAAGTAGTTAAATCTGTAGTTAAAAAATCACAGTTATTTTTTATAGTTATTTTAAGATCAAATTTGGACGAAATTACATATATTAAATAACCAAGATTTTTAGTTTTTTAACAAAATAAATATCCTAGGCTGACAAATCGTCTCTACTCAGAGTCGTTTTTCGTATACAATGAATATCATTGAATTCAAATGTAATACAGTATCCAGCTGTACAGCAGAACGACACCCACTTATCCTCTTTTTTTTTGTTTAATTTAGTAAAAAGATTATTTATATTTTAATTTAAGTTAAAGATTTAAAAGAAAAAAGATGGAGAAATGTCCGTGACTATTATATGAAGTGGAACAAAGAGGAGAATTCGACCCCATCTGGTTCGGGTGCATCAAAAAAGAAAAAGTACCATTATGCTGATATTTTATCATTTTTAAAACCAGTTGCTGAAAAAAGAAGGTAATTTTTTTGTTTTTTGATATTTTTCACTACTAAAAGTTATATTATTGTTTTTAATAAGTAGGTATAATAGTATTATAGCTTTTCATTTTTATACTCTGAAAAATCCATGGATGCATTGGTGATTTAATTTATATTTAATTTTCTATTGATTTCCTTTTTTTTCTAGTAAAAGAGTAGACAGATTTTACATTAATATACCTAGTTAATTTTTAAAATGAGTTCGCTTATATAGTTACACAGATACTTAAAAAAAATTTTTTATTAAATTTATCTATCTTTTTATTATTACATACCTAATATTATTTTTTTGTTTAGTACAACTGGAAATTTTGAAGATAACCTCGACGAAAGTGTTCAAGTCGAACAAACTTTTGAAGAAATTAGCCCGACTAGTGAAACTGAGCAGAATGCAATAGCCTCTACATCCACTTCTCAAGTACACACAAAAAAATTTAAAAAAACTGTAAAAGAAACCCCGATTACTCCGTTCCAAAATAAATTATTAACTTATTTAGAGGAAAGAGAGTGCAATGATCCTGATAAACATTTTTTATTGTCTTTATTACCAGACTACAAAAACCTTAATGATTCCCAAAAATTAGACTTTCGTATTAATGCCCTTAACTTTTTTAAAAATGCAAATCAAACCCATAATATTAGTTCATCTTCTTCGACGTATCAACCGGCAAATGTATATCAGAATAATAACTCATATCAGGATTCCTCATCTTTTTATTTACCTCCGCATAGACAACCTGAAATCAACAATCCATATTATCCCAACGTTGTACCTCCATATCCTCAACCTGTAGTGTATTCACCTACACCTCAACCTCAATTCTCACAGTACCAACAAAAAATTACATCAAATGCCTCAAATGCCACATTTTCACTAACCAATATATCTTCAAATTTCGCTCCTAATACTTCCTCAAATAAATAAATTAAAAATATGGTTTATACATTTCAGTTTTTTTATTTTACTCTAATAAATATATTGTATACTCCCAGGGTTTTATTTTTTTTATATTATTACAAATAAAGGTAAAATAATTTGTTACAATTAAATTATATTGTTTTTAGTTTTCTCAAATAAATCACTACTTCTATTTATTTGCTGATTGCTTATAAATTACCTATTATTAATATATTCAATATGTATAATATCAAATATGAGGTAAATATTATTATCTATGGTAATTAAAAAATAAATAATTTCTTACCTTATAGTAATTGTAAGTCTTTGCTCAACGCATATTGGATTCCTCATATTGGTATGCTGCTTTGTTAAATGAGGACGAATTGTTTCCAACAACTCATCAAAAGAAGTTAGCGACATTCGGTAATATTCAAAAAACTTAAGAGGAAATTTTCGAATTGAATTGTAAAAGTTTTCAAACAAATCTTCCTCCTCTCTTTTTTGATTGAGTGGATGTACCCAAAATTGTCTAGATTTAGTAGTTGAAATAGGTTCGTCTAGTTCACCGGTTGCTTCCGCGGCACAAATAATATTTAAAAGAGCACTCATATTGAAAAAAATCAACCGTACTTGTCGTAAGCAGAACTTTGACTGCGCTATCTGTGCTAGTCAGCTGGTTATGATAGCGTATAATATTAGTATTTAGTATATTTATAATTTTAATTAAAATATTAATCAAAAATATAAATCAATGTATCATATAAATAAATAAATTTTGTTTTCGCATCCGGCAATTCCGCATCGTATGGTCGAACACGGCTGTTGCGGAAATTCCGCATTTATATTTTCCAACGCGGAAAAAACGCATCGTGTGGCCCGAGCCTTAGTATCACAAGTTCAGAAAATTCTACTTATAAATTATAATAATTAGGTATATGATATATTTTAATATTTACACTCATTATCAATACCTACGTTCTAGAAATGAATTAATCCAAAAAAAAATTAACGAGTAATTTAGTAAAAATTACTACAAAAAAGTAACTTAAATTACATATAAATTACTTACAATAAAATGTAATTAAATTACCATAAAATTACTTAAAAAGTAATTTCGTTACAGTAACTTGGAACTTAAGTTAAGTTACTCCCCAACACTGGCTAAAGAACACCTTTAGCACCCGTTTTGGTTGTGGCCATGTGGCTATTCGTAATACGTGTCAAGTACAACAACGAAGAAAACAGATTTTTGACACAGCCTACAAGGGGTCCACTGAATAAATATAAATACTTAGGTATAATACCCTAAAATAAACTGTTTCTCTGCATGACCTGTATTATATTCTTAACTGCAGAATGATATCATGTAAATATTATATTAAAATATAACTCATGAGGGAGGGGGCTCGGCACACACTCTATTGTAGTCATAAATCTTCGTATTTTTTTTTTTTTTTTTTTTTATTATTAACATAAGACATTCCTAGTCTAAGGCTATCTAAATCTAGGGATATTTACAGTTTTTAATAGTTTTAACATTATAACGTGATAATTAAAATAAAATGTTTCAGCACACAGGGTGTTTTAACAAGTATTTTTACAATTTTAGAATTTATAAGTAACATATTTATAACATAAGTTATATTGATAATAAATAATTAATATTCAGGTAAAATAGTTGAGATTGTTATTGGGAATTTAATTTGACGTTTTTGGATAGTTAATGAGGATATTTATTAATATAATGATAAAAGGAAGAGATAAGATTATGGATTATGGAATACTGCTATTAGCTTTAAGTGCGTTTAGGACTGACGTGAGGAGGGAGATAGATAGCGTCGGCGATATTATTCTCCGCGTGTGATGATTGAATTTTTGTGGCTTCCGCATGTTTGGTCTTGGACTGGGCGTCAGAATCAGAGCCCTATCTTCGTAAAATCGTATTAATATGTTATCAAATATGAAATAGAACCAAATGAGTTGAAATGACGACATATAGTTATATTATTAGTTAGAAACCCGACACATATTTTATAACAAGTATATTTATGACATAAATTTGATTGAGGAATTTGTAAGTACACATATAGTAGGTATATTACGTCTATTTTATAAAATAATTTATTAAATTTCTATCATAAAATTATGTCCATAAAACGGTAGTAAAAACTAAAAATAAATAGAACAAAACGGATGCGTGCTTTGGCAAACGAGTCGAGCTCCTGCGAAACTCGTCAAACATTTTCGGACGGCAAATTGTTCTCGCAAAAGCCCATATAATATCGGGATTAATGTACATTAATATCGAACGCGTTTCCCCTCGAAAATTCTGCGCGCGTAATAAAATATTTAAAACTAGCGTATTACAGTCCTGCACTTTGTGTTTTTTATTATATTCATAAGCGACTATACCTATATACGTACGAGTCAGCCTGGTCGCCGTGTTGCTGCAGTGGCACTGATGCCGGTGACGGGGCGGGATGAGGTTCGGAACGGTTTTATATTTTCTGAATGTTTCCGCGACGTCCCGGCACACAAAACGCGCGTATATTGTATATATAATAGTATAATAACAATATTACAATATAACTATAAAACACAAAGCCGATTCAGGTGCGCATGTATTATATTGACGGCCCGAGCACCGTTTACTACCCCGGTATAGCACATACAGCATGATAAAATCGTATAGGTATATATTATGAGTATTTATATATATATATATATCGGTTTGTGCGAGTGGTATACATATATATACGTCGTTTAATCTACGGCTCGTAAAACTAGACGAGCGTCGGTCGCTCACTAATCGCGATTTACGGCATTTAATCGAAATCCGAAAAGGACACCACTGCGGACCTCCGGTGTGTGGACAGACGGAGAGAGAGAGAGAGAGTGAGTGAGCGAGTGAACGAGTGAGCGTCAGGTCGCCCCTGCAATAACAGTAACAATATAAACGCCACTGCAGTCGGCCCCGACACGGTACGTTTGTTTTAATTGTTTTGGCCGCAATGGAATTATAAACACGGCAAAGGCGTTACGGTGCCGTTCCCTCTGCAAGTGCTTACGATATAATATAATATACATATATATATATAGGTACTGCAGTTATATTAAATCGGACATAGTTGGTATATATATATATATATAGGTAGGCACATTATATTGAATTGCTGTGGACGAAAATCGTATTATCATTATTATATTGTACCTAATATTATATTATACACTAACATTACACTACATTACACACGACTGTATCGAAAGCGAATTTAATTTTAATTTTTTTTTTTTCGTCACAGCAGAGTTTTAAACAAAATCCGAAAATTACACGATTCGTACGTCGTCGATTCGAAATGTCAAGCCACGCCGTCGACGTATACGATGGCGTATTTCTATTTATTCAAATAAATAATTATTGTACGAATTGATAGGTCATTTTATGGGTGCTTTGACAAAAAACTGTCGTTGAAACAACCAAACGCATTACTTGTAATGGGACCTTTATAAAATAACCACTGATATTATAGCTGGTCAAGGCCGTAGCCGGGGTGGTCAGGCCCCCCCCCCCCGAAATTTTTTTTTGAAATAATATTGTAACTAATCTTAATGTACTTTTGTAAAACCTAATGTATAGCTCACATAATACCTACAGTATATAATCTTAATTAAGATTAAAAACCCCCCCGAAATATTTTTCTGGCTACGGCCTTGTAGCTGGTATGTATACAAGTATTATTAAAGCTAATAGAAAATAATAAAAATGTCTGTACCTATGTGGCTATATGTCGAATACAAAATAATATGTATTATAAGACGACCGTCTCCGCTTTAAATTTACAGTACAATTAATTTACCTAATCCCAATGATTGAATAATATTGTTAGGTATTTATTGTTAGTCAAGACAATAATGTTGTGAAGTGGTAGACTGAAAGAGAAATTTGGGAAGGAGTGAATAATTATATAAATAAATTAACCTTTGTAAATTCTCAGATGGATCGTAAATAGTAATCTTAATTGTATTAACATAATAAAGTGTAACTCAATCCGTGCCCGACGCTTTGTTGACCCAACAGAATATGACGGATGAAAACGTTTTGTTGATGAATAAATCAGACGAGAAGAAAAAAAAATGCTTTTCTTTTTACATAATAAGTTATAACAATGACAGACGACAGTGAATTTTCATTTAAATATTAATACGTAGAACGTTTTGTAAAGTTTAATAAGCTACAGACAGAGAACGTTTAAAACCATCATAGTATACTGAATTATTCGTTAGAGATAATAATTTATTCGATATGATGAAACTTATTATTTTAATATTTAGTACTATTATTATATTAATATTATATTATTATGTTTTGTCGCGTTTTAAAAGGATTGCGTAGGATGCTATTGTGAATATGCACTCACAGTGATAACTCAATTCGGAATAATACAAGTACACGGAGTATCGCATTTTTTCGAAATTCCATTTAGTTATACTTCCTGTTTTATCCTCATATACCTATGTCCTTTATAAATCTATATAATATACGCGAATAACAATGGCTGTATAAAAATAATAATATATTTGTACGACACCGGAGTCACGTGGACCGGAACCGCAGAACCGAAATCTTTTTAAGCGTTCGCCTTTGTGAAAATAAAGAACCAACTCGTTTTTTCCCTTTTAGTTTTTTGGCCCTCTGCTATCGGTGCGGTATCGGTGCAATATTGAATTTTTATTGCCGGAATCCATTAGCGATCCCTATTCATTCGCGTTGTTTTTTTTCACGAAATATACGTAATATACTATATAACCCATAGCAGAGCAGTAATTCTTTACATAAAGAAAATCGTACGATATGCTAAACGACGGAACGCTCGAGGGGCTGCTTCCAATTTTTTTTTTGTTAAACGAAAAAAAAAACAATGTAAATTTATGAAGCATAACAAAAATATACATACGCAAAAGTATATGCGTATACTGAATTATTTGAGTGAGTACGAATTTATTTCCATTCAAAACATACCATCGATATCCGCTGTGTGGTAATCGTTTTTGTTATTTTATTACGATTTAAAATGTTTTATTAAAAGAACAATTCATTACAACAACAATTATGTCACGATACATAATATATATATTACTTTTCTTTGACCATTTTTTCTGTTGGACTAATTTTCCATGACTATTATTATCCACAGATTTCTACTGTTCATATGCATAATATTATACTATATACACATACAAAGTTCAAAATGTTTGCACTATAAACGTAACTACCCATATGTTTGTTTTAGGTTTCTAAATAAATGTCCAGAACACCTTTTATACTTGTGTTTGTTCGTCTATCCGTTAGTTACCACGATGCATAAATATTAAATCTATAGTTATTAGTTACGATTGTTGATATTAATAGGGAAATGTATTTATTTATTGTCCGTCATTAC